AGGCTATTACGGCAGTGCATGCCGTGGATTACAGCGGAATGTTTGGTTGATGATGAGAACATGCTGATGTGGCATTGGACTAAGGTGGCACTGCATTGCGTTGTGGGTGGTACCGAGGTCATGACCGGTCATCAAATGCAACTTCAGCTCAATTGGTGAGAAATCTGTGGTTGGGGGCAGCTATCTCCAGGTATGTTGATCCCTTACTTTATCTACCTTCTCAATCTCTTCTTACCGTGAGGAAGTGAGTCGAACTTGAGAGTCCTCTCCTTGGTGCGGTGTCGTGAGCGCGCTACCTTGAGAGACGACAATCTTCCCGGAAGCATCTGGAACGAGAAAGGGCGGTGCCTCTGAAGGGCCCTGGTCGAAGCACTGCGGCACGGTCACCATGCCAACCCGCAGGGAGTAGTGCACGCATGCGATGGCTGCTGTCCTTGTTGGCACTTGCTGCGCTAAATAGAAGTCCTGCCGGGTGTGGCAGCCCATGACAGACGCTTACCAGACCGTCTATAAACATTTCTGGTTGGGAGTTCATTGTGAATCTGGCTGTGATCGTCGTCCTGACTGCGACGTTAAAGAATTCCTGCAGAGATGGGGGCGCTCTATAAATTCCTCCTGATCAGCCAGATCACATGGACAGGAAGGCTCGTCGCCGTACGAGGGTAAATAAAAGTGGTTGGGCTGGCTTGCTCGGTAAGGACTTGGGCACAATGGTGGGCCGAAATACACACGAAGACACTGCTTGCTCATTGATGCTGTCCGGTATGTTGGATTGAGGGGAAGGGTAGGTTCCAGTTGATGCTCATTTGTATACACAACCATACCCATCAATCATACATCTGCTACATGGTCATTTTGTATTCTTGATTAGTTGGTGGACAGACTGCTAACACCTCACAGACAGATTAGATTAGGACTATAGTATGCTACCATATCCAGTTCTCTCTAATGCTGGCTGTAAGTGAACTAATCAGAGTACATCTAGACTATGTAGAGAATCTGTGTGAATGTTGTAGACATGCCACTTAATCGGTACAGTAGGGGACTTGCCGGACACAACTATTGTTAGAAAATTAGGTGCCGGTCAGATACATGCTGCGGTAGGATTCCACTAGGGGATTCTAGTGCAGACATTATCTGCCTAACTAATGAGTGGGTCAGACCCTGTTGATGATAGAGCTGACAATAGGAGACTAACACGTGCAGGGGCATTAAGGGTATCGCACGTGTTCCAGGCCTTAGAACAGGGAGAAGAAAGACGACTACATAGAGCCCGTGCGCTAGCAGCGGGGATAGCAGCAGCAAACGCAGCAGCTAGAGAGCAAGCAACAGCAGCCAAAGCAGATGCGATGGCGAACAGCGCCAACTCTGCTGCATCATCGTCTGCGTCCTCGTCAGGGACGAATGGGACTCATTTGGGAATGCCACTAAGTTCCACAAGTTCCATGGGCACTTCCGGTTCAACAGGTTCTAGACAGTCTTCTAGTCAAATGGAGGGCTCGCAGTTCAGCTGCTGGCTGCTGCGTTGCGCTAAGAAGTGGTGCGAGGCAGGTATGCGCTAGGCGGTAGGGCGCTGCCTGTGCACTGGGCGCTTGGCGGCCATAGCCGAGCTGCAGAGGGCGCAGAGGGGTGAAGGGCGAAGGCGGTTCTTCGGAGGTGAAGGGTGCTGTGTGGGTAACAGGGAAGAGTGTGGGTGAAGAGGACACGTACCTGGTGGAGGTGGAGGTCGGCATTGGTGTTGACATCATCACTCGCTGGTAGTCAAGTTGTCTGGTTGCTTTCAATGCTGTAGTTGTAGGATAGGCTATAGAGTAGATAGGGCGCCTGGCGCCATTCACAAGAGAGAGTTACATTTGGGTTATGCTGTTGGTGTTGCCTTGTTGGGCATGGACATTGACTCACGATTCTTTTGTATCATTCTCAATTGGATGGTTACTCGGTTCCATTGTGCTATCTCCTTTGGCTTTGACTACTTGGACTTCAGTGTGATTTCGCATTCTGGATTTATGTGCTTCGTCCATATTCATGTTCCTTGCAAAGGGAGGGGGAGGAGGAGAGAGATGAGGAGCAGGAGAAGGAGGAGGAGGAGGAGAGAAGAAGATGAAAGGAGGAGGAGGAGGCGGACCTGCCGATTTTGAGTTGCGTTGACGAAAAAAAAAAAAAAAAAAAAAGATGACGAAGGAGGAGGAAGAGGAGGAGGAGGAG